GAAGGGAGAGGTCCGTGTTCGGCCCGAACGGCCGAACGGGCGTTCAGCCCGTTCCGAACGTCGGTTACCCTGTATATATATATATATCGTCAAATAGAACTGCCCGGTAAACCGTAGGCAGAGAGGGAGAAGAGGACATATATATATATATATACATACACACACATACATATAATATATACACACAGTTTTAGCATTTAACCAATTATCTCGGAAAGCCCCATATTTAAATTAATAAAAGCAGCCCTTAGGAATATCGTGCTGACATTGTCCTATAGAAGACAAGACACCTGAAGAAGTATAATTTTAGTGCGAGTCCAGCCTTTAATTGTGCACAGTAGGTAGATAGAGTGGGTATAGGGAGTGTGCATAGGGAGTACAGATAGGGAATGTAGTTTCATGAGATGGTTTCAGTTTTGCTGCGGTGGGGTTAAGCCTGGCCGGAGTGCCTGGCTCATCCCTGTGGCTGCAGCTATTCATGTGAGGGATGCTGGGCCCGCTTCCCAGCTTATATAATAAAAATGGAACCTTCTCGTAAAAAAAAAAAAAAAACAAGGCACAAACCTCCTCCATCTAACAGTTATTCTGCAATATAGCTGCGTTAGTTAGTGACATTCAGAGTGGAGTTCACCAGTAATTCTAAGGCAGTCTCTTGCCGGTAATATCCTCGACCATTTGTTACTATTACTATTATTATTATTATCATCTATTATTTATTATTGTTATCTATTTTTTTATGTTCGATGACTACTCACAATGAAGAATCGCAGTAACCAAAAGAAGAAGGTTCCTGGATTCACTTCCTTCCATAGACATCTCATGCATCTTCTTGCTAAATGGGAACGAATGAAAGCCAATTGCTGGCTCCGTTTTTTCCTAGAAGTCTGCAAGCAGCATCCTGAGTGATCACTGAAAACACAGAAGGTCAAGTTGCGCAGTTACGCTACCCCTGCCTTGGATTTTTCACTCAGGATCTGCCAACACGTACAGTCGGAGCCAAATATAGTACGTGAAACGAACTATTACGTAAAGTGCTTTAGCACACACGACAAACACACACACACACAAAAAAAAAGAAAAAAAAGAAAAAAAAAAGAAAAGAGAGAGAAAAAGAAAAAAACAACTCCGATGAGGACACAACTCGGAAGGTGAACATAAGGAAGGAACCCGGAAGGGCTGCTTATCTGAGAGAGCAAAAACAAAAAGGGGAGAGAGAGAGAAAGAGAGAAAAGACGAGGGCGGAAAGAGTGCTTATCTGCGCATGTGTGTGTGTGTGTGTGCGTGTGTGTGTGTGTGTGTGTGTGTGTGTGTGTGTGAGAGAGAGAGAGAGAGAGAGAGAGAGAGAGAGAGAGAGAGA